ATATATATATATATATAAACTCGAGAAACCTAATGGTTGTACGGCAGTGAAGCATCAGTGGCAACAATGGTGTTGCTGTCCTTGATGATGATGATGATGTTGATGTTTGCTAAAGCACCGTGTAGTGGTTTTGGACTGGTAATTTCTGTCATTCTAGTGTTTACTACCGTGCTTTTCAGAAACTGCTCGATAAATACTCCAGCATGTGCGAAGTTAGCGTACTTGTTCGAAACGACACACCAAGTCGGAATCCCTACATCTCGAATTCGACAACTGTACTGATGTGCGGTCGAAGTGGAAAAGGTTAGGGAACTGCAAGTGTAACTTTAGATAGATAGATGTGGAGAAATCTGGAGGAATTACAAAGGACATGAAACTATCTGCTTTCCGAAGTCCACACAAGAGCGATTTAAACGTCAGTAGTTGATTTTAACTCTGAATTTGTTTGTCAATAGCTCGCTGCCTAATGCTCAACCCCTGAGCCCTATGAGGTTCACCTGAGTCTTTAACCAAGTTCGCGAATATTGCAGAATACTTGCCTGCAGGATAATCTCGAATTTTGAGTGGTAAGGGCAATGTTGAGTTGTTATCTCTGCGTTTGTTTCCAACAAATTTCGCTAGAGTACGCTTGCTTGTCTTTCTGTATGTTACTATAGTCGTCCATTTGCTGTGTAGTCGGTTCGTTCTGATTAGATGTTCGTCATCGAGCCACTTGCCATTGTGATGGTATGTTGTCATTTTTTTTCTCCCTCGTTCTAGTCCCTAATTGATATAAGGATGAATCATCAGCGTGCTAATCTCCCAACTGATTTTCAAGCAAGAGCCGCCTTGGTAAGTGGATCCAAATTGTGGTGAGCACTTCGTTGGCGTGTATGTGCTTTTGTACTCAATGAGATCTAATATAGTTGAACTATCCTGCAAAAGACAACTCAATGCTAGGCAGGAGCCGTGGTGAGGTAACATAATTCTCTTTGACGGTCACGGCGCATGTCTCTTAGGAGGTCCGTAATGGGATCAAAAACCAGATCCAACCAGTTACCATGGTAGTTACCGATATGGCTCCATTAGTTCTAGTGCGTATTATGTTCTGGGGAGGGGGTGCGAAATACTAATACGAATGAAAGCGGAGAAAGATCACAAGGGCATACACAGCTTGGGCTCCCGTGTAACAAGTTTGTCAGTTTGGCAGGCGTCATTCCATCTCGCTGCGTAATCAATGTTATGCTGCGCAAATGTGCTTCATTCGGATATTAGTAATGATGTGGTCTGATCAGAAGGGTTTGATGTCTTTGTGTATGCGTCTTTGTGACGCACATGGTTTATGGTCACAGACAATCAACTGTTCTGTTGTTCTATGGGTGTTTATTCCGAAAACTGACTTCTTTCCTAAGCGTCTGTCTGTGTGTTACTACAGATAATCCCAAAAATTTTGGAACTTCCTTCTTGTCTCCCTTAGGCTTGCGCACTCACTTCAATTTTCCGAAATATGGCTTCCCAACTGGATGGTGTTTTCATTAATTACTGGGAGTATTCTCCGTTGTGCAAGCTCACTTCCCTTGATATGTATGACTACTGGTTTTGATGCTACATCGGGAAAATTATTTTTACGAGACTTGTGCCTCAATGGAATGTCTGCCATCCCTCATCAAAACCGGATTCTAATGTTTGGAAGCTCCCTACACTGATATTTTGTTTACCGAAACATCCTTCTGGTGGCAGATTTGGTTTGTACATTGGTAGTGAGATATCAAACAAGTACTCGTCTTCCTCCTTATTTATGTCCTACCGTTCTTCGTCCTCCCCCATCAGGTTAACTTTCTCCCCGACGATACCGCAGACAGCTTGTTGGTCTCCAGACTGGCAAGGTCTGTGGTCTCGACCCGGCAAACCTTCGTGGGAGAATGTGTCTTCAATATCTGATCTCTCTTGAACTGCCTGATCCATATGCACATATCTCCATGGATGACTGGATTCTTTGGAGAATTTGCGTTCCTTAGAAATGATACCAGTAAGCTGACCCGATTGCTCGTAAGTTCCATCCTTTGAAGCTTTGTGAGCACTTTCTTGGAAAATTAATAACCGTCGGAAGCCCTCTCTTATCCGCTCAGTGGCTGAAGCTAAAAAATGAAAAATACATGTTGTGTGCGAGCTTGACTGCACTGGTGGCCTGAGATTACCGTATATACACTACACAAACAACTTCGCCACCCTGTCCAGAATGGTTCTGGTTGCTCACTGAATTTATAGTCACTTTGCTTTTCACAAAATTCTTGAGTTGTTAGCTTGCGTGCTGACAGTCTGAAACACTATGAACGCCATTTCTTTGATCCTATCAATGACTGTCAGTGGGCTTCATCCGACATGCAAGGTGCTCATGGATTCAACTAGGGGTTCTCTACTTTTATAATTAAGGTATGTAGAATCGTGTGAAGTTGTGCATTCAGTATGAGTAACACAATCGTATTGTTAAGAGAACACGAATCCTAGTTGTCCGCGAACCAAAACGAGGTTTTTAGTCGTCTAGAGTAATGACGAAATAAATAAAATAAGCAATGCAATGGAATTTATCTAAGCAATTCAGAGAACACTCCGGAATATCAATACTGCGTTCATTCTCCTCAGCTGCGAAACGTAAAAAAGCGACTGGTACACGTGAAAGATGTAGGCAACAGCGTGGAATGGACATGTAGCAGCAAAAGCTGGTGTCACGTTCACAGGATCACGACAAACAGATGCACCGCGTCAAAACTCTGTTCACGCAACACTAGTTGCTGAATTCTGACCAGCATGTCCTCACTAGTATACAAACGATTTTGGTACCGGTTGTGTGACAGCACTCGGAACGAATAATTCGGATTGCTTCGTCCGAAGCTTGCAATGGACAGCCCATCAGGTTCAACGCTGGCGACTATGTTGAGGAATTCTCGGAAAAGTTCCAGATATTTCTCAGTGCTCTATGTGAACGATACCTTCATTGTTGCTAACGTTGAATATTCTGATAGCTTTTTTGACCTTCAACTCTAGCCACACATACATGTGTCTTTTGCTCATGTTACCTATCAGCACCCTTGCCTCTACAGTCGTTAGAACCATAAAACCTTCACAGAACCTTCGAGCAATCGAGCACTTCCATCACAAATCTACATAGTGCGGAATTCTGCAAACTGGTCATTGAACCGATTCACAGTGTTCGTTCCGAGCGTTGTTGCGCTTTTGTCTGTCTATAGGGTCATGCTAATCACCAACGAGTGCTGTGCCCAAAACGTTTTCCTTAGCATGTGATAACTTTTGCTGCCACATGTGTGTCAGTTCAACTTTGCTGTGAACTCCTGCTTATGCATTAACAACATCCTCATCTGAAGTTATCACCCTGTTCTGGTTCGAAGCATTGGACCAGAATTTCGCCCTTATTAGAGCGCATCATCAATGCATGGTTTAATGATGCGGGAATTTGAAACTCGAACGTTTTACACGTGGGACGAGTGTATCACTTCTGAACAGTAGAATGCGTACACGATCAAGCGTCCAGGAACTATCATCCAGTAGCTGTCCCGAATGCATCGGCCATATATATTATTTTCACATTTTGCCTTGCTGCTGAGAGAAGTAACAAACATTAATATCCCACAACATGTATCTGCTATCAGGATTGATAAAATTCGTGTGATCAAGAAGTCTGGTGATCATTTCCTCAGTTTCTTTAGGTTGCTAGAAACCACTAGTGATCACATAGTAAACATAAAGAACGTGAAACATGTATTTGGTGGTTAGGGTAAGATTATCCACTGATTTACTGATCCCGTGTTCATTAACATTCATGTCTTGAATTTTTGTTCATATTTCTGACACCCAGATTGCAAGGATCGAATCAGAGGGTTAAAATGCGCTGTTCTGCCTGTAAGCTGTCCTCAGTTTGAGTCAGTTCTGCTTTAGGAATTTTTGTTCATATTTCTGACACCCAGACTGCAAGGATCGAATTAGAGGGTTAAAATGCGCTGTTCTTCCTGTAAGCTATCCTCAGTTTGAGTCAGTTCTGCTTTAGGAATGTCACTGGAATGCTCTAATTTCTCGGGTTTTTTCCACTTCCAGGCTGGGAATCGTTGAAAATTTTTTTGCTTCACCTTTCAAAAAATGACACGTTTTCAGCTCGTTCATGTTGGATGTTGTCTGATTTCGTTTCAGGTTGTCTGTTGGTTTCTCGTTGACCTTCAGCGTTTCACTCCAGTGGAATTGTCTACTCTAGAGGAACCATTTTCCCGGAGGGACACCAACATAACCGAGCTACTGAATTCCTTAGTCAAGTCCAATGACATTATGTGAATCCCTAATGTGTTTGAATACACCAACTTTCCTACAGACTCATCCTTTATGGTAGCTGTACGACCCTCTATCTCATGACTGGGGCCAGTTATAGTGCCAAAGCTGGATTTGATGTCTTCGCGATATTATTTCATATGCAGGGCTTGTAGGGGCCTACAAACACAACCCGGGCTTCAACTCGCCGCTATTGTAGGTAATCGTGGGAGGCATCCTAAACGGATGGTTCCAGTTTGGCACGAATGAAGCACACGTGTGCACGCGTCCTGTGGATTATCATATTTCGGTATCACGTAAATGAAGTGACTTCCCTAATCGCTTAATTTAAAGACCCAACCACACCCTAAACAATTCGACAACTCGGGCGGTTTGCGGGTTCGATTGATATAACGCACTATTTGATATTTTTTCATGAGCTGAACACTGGCAAACCTATACGCAAACCCATCACGTATATGTTATGGAAGAACCGAGCTGTGGCTACTGATCGGACTATTGCCATTTATACTTCTCAAATCAGCTTTTAGCTGTCCACCTTATTGGTCCTGTACGTTAAGGCAGAGCTCTGTCGGTCGACCGATGTTATCTGATTTTCACCATTCTCTGCCATGTTCTGACCACTATATTTCTGCGGACAATTCCCCTTCGACACACAGTTCGCTGATCCCTACATAGCCGTACCGATCGCGACTGTCGTCAGTGTACTCCCATCGTGTTTGCAGTAATGTTCACAACAATGTACAGTGCACTGTGTGCTTTGACTTGTACTTTCGAGATTTACCAGAAGTCTCTTCAACTCCAATCAAAGATCACTGGGTTCCTTCAATCACTCACTTGATGGTTTGTGGATTCGCAACTCCGCATGCGGGCCTGTACAAGGCGGCTGGCACTTGGATTAACTGGCGAAGTTTTTATGTATACTCACTGTAAATCTCCATCGTAGGCTAGGCTGTCCTTGATGTTCGCATCTGCATCTCATCCTTCGTTCCAATGTCGGTGTGTGTTATGCCTGAAAGACCGTCAATAAATTTATTGCCTACTCGAAGAGATATGATTCTGACGTTGTCGATGACCATGGAAATGCAGTTTTGTCCCACTCTAGACACGAAGCACCCGCTCAGACAGGCGTGGTATCGAATTCACATGAGAATCACGTGCGACTGTCCGTCCGTTGTTTTGTCTGATATTCGCAGGCTTTCGGGTGCGGCATTGCCTGAATAGAAACTTAAACACTGTGTGGAATATTCTCACTACACTGCGTCTGCGTGAAGTCAAAGTGGATACAAAAATCTATACCAACGAATCACCTTGGAATTCAACTTCTGTTATTAGGCCAAATAAAGCACAGTAAAGCCTCTATCCATAAACGTCATTGTCAGTTGTAACAACCGCGTACTTATACAGTGGTTGTAGCTGCCACAGTTTCGTTCACCGATGATTCGGAGAGGTGGGGTAGGTAGCTGCACATTGGAGGCGGGTGCCGAAAAATTAGTGCGTAAATACAGCACTGAGTGGACTGTTAAGTGGGGGATTGGGAAGGGAACTATGAATTGAAGGCAATAGCTTGGATGCATGAGCGCCATTGAGGGCGCGACTGGGCAATGTCTGACAATGTCTCTAACCGTTGATATGGCCCGTCTCTGGGTCCCCATCCAGGAAGACGTCAATGACCAGCGCAGCTGAGTTTGCTGGTAATGGTTTTATACTGCTCTGCCAAGTCATCGTTTGACAGCCTCTGGCTCTCCCACCCTTCACGTGGTTGTGCGAGAAGAGCCCTTTGAGGAAGTCGGTCGACTGGCATACGCAGCGCGGCCGGTGCAGTGTGAGCAGCTCATCCATCGAGGGTCAGTTATTTCTCCGAATACCATTCAGGGGAAAAAACTTAGTTTCCAACTCATTCTTCAGTCATCCATGTAGTGCAGGGTGGAAGAGCGTCGCTGAGTACGCACACTGAAACATTTCTCACAAAACACAGTGTATCGGACCTGGGCCTATTGTTTCTTACGCAGTACATGCTTCGTTGTTATTGATATCAATCTCTACCATGAATTTTATCCGATAAATCTGCGAGATTGCAACAATTCAGTCCTACTAAATGCCTGGCTGCACAGGACCTTGTAGCGGACCCCGGCAGTTTATAATTGTTATAGGAATGTAGGTACGTGATTTTTCGCCGTTGGAGAGTGCATTGTGCAGGGAAGAAACTTATGCTTAATTAGTAGTTTTCCCATGTAACATGACGATATGCGACTTCCCCACGGAACAACAAACCCGAAGCGGGCTTTGACTTGATGTATTGTAGACGTCTTGGAACACACGTGTTTTTCATTTATTTCCCTTTCGTCCGCTTCCGTTATTCGCGAGCAGAAACGCTCATTACAGATCTATCGTGACGAAAGCGAACGTCGTACAGGTAGGAGTTGGTCATGTGGTCAACATAGCAAAATTACATTTTGAATGCCAAATTTCGATTCTCCGCCTAAGTGCCCTCGAACTGGTTGTCGCTCATCAATAGACTAAAACGTACCTTTTAAATTGCACACCAAACAGTTTACCAGTACCTTCAGGGCTCATAAAGACAGTCGTCGTCTTGTTAACCAAAGTGGTTTTAATCTAGAATTATCTTGCTACGCAAATGGGGTGCGAGAATCAAATGCAGGTTCCCTTGACCTGTGCGCCAAATTTTCTAGGACTATAAACCAAGGGATTGTGCTTCAGATGGTCCTTTCGACCGTCGATTTCTCATAATATTTAAGCGGAGCTGAAGGGTGAGTTGCGTGGATAGCTGAGCAGCTAAGAGCCGCCAAAACCATTTACCCCGGCTTTTGCTGACGAGCTTGTTTCTTCCCTCCGGTAAAGCAGCATATCAGCTTTAGTACAGATATGTTTCCCCGGTGCTTGCGGAACTTCTGTGCACACCACAATTGTGTGAACAAGCCTGAATAGTCCACACCAAAACGACCCTGGATCGGCTCTTATCAGGACTCACCAACAGTACTTAATCTTTGTCCTGCCGGGATTTGGACTCCAGATATCTAGCACATGGCATGTAACTTTCCGCGACTTACCGTTTCTCCAACAGCGTGCGTTGATCGTATGTGTATTATTACGCCTGAGCAAGTGGGCATGCTCGCGCCTCAATCGGTTCGGTCGACACCTTCCCATCATCAGACAGAAACATCGGAATTGACACTGGCGCTTCACTACCACACAACTACAAAGCCACCTAGTCGCATCCAGAGCTTTGAAGTAAAAATAAGTGAGAAGAGTATGAACCCGGTGCTAGCTTATCACTGGCATACTCAGTTGCCCCAAGTACTCAGTCAAGTAATCGTAGGATGAACTGATCACGCGCACATCGATTAGCCGTCGTTTCTTGCAATGGCCCCGGTCAAGTGCAATAGGGGTCGCGAACTCTTCACAATCTCCCACTCCCTTCTGCCAATTCACCTGCTGTTAATCCGACAGTTAGCACCGTTGTGAAGGGCGCGTACGTTGTATATGACCTAGTCGCCGCCGTTGATGGTGCTTCATGTTTCCCTCGACTGAATCATTTCCTGCACAACCAAGTACCCGTTTCCCAATTACATCGTTGCGACCTCGTTGACGCCATTCAGCATTGGTGATCAAAAACATAACCTATTCGCGGGGGCCACGTCTCGCAGCCATACAACAACACAGCAGGGGCCACGTCTCACAGCCATACAGCACAACCCTTACTGTAGCCTGGTACACGGGGCCCTTTAGACCCGGTGACGCCTTTTTGAAGCTACAAGTCACGAGACTTAGGACACGTGATTCGGGTGTTTAAGATTCTTGCACGGACTTCATTAGACGGATTTCCGTCAGAGCTAATGCAACTAACGAGGTATGTAAGGTCCTCCACAACCTCCAGTGCTTCTCCTTTCATTGCTAGGGATGTTCAGAGGCTGCACATTCTGATGCATGACTAGTATTTTCAGATACAACACATGTCGAGAGATTATATGCTGGTTAGTGCACGTGCTTTATGTTAGTCTTCCAGAATTATAATGTCTTCCGCGTACGACATAATAAGTCACTGCAATCAGCGATTTACACACGGGGGTTTTGAAGACCCTCTGGTATTCATTACATTCGTTCATTGGTGATGAAGTTGAATAGGATTGAAAAGAATGGGTAACCATGCTGAACATTACTTCTTCTAGAGGAGCTAGACATCCACTCGCTCTGAGTTGTGTGAATATAGAATTTTGGAGTATCCCCTTTTAGGCAATTGTAGTTGGGACCGCTGGTCGACTGCCGAATTGAACGAATCGTTGAGGTTGAGGAGCACAAGGATGGTGGACCTTTTGTACATATGTATGTACATGCACCTAAAACACCTGACGAAGACTGAAGATCTGGCCGTTGCAGCACCTACCCGGTAGAAATTTCAATTGATGCTAATATTTCGGAGTTCTGTGTGCCGCTTTGAGATCAGTGACATCAGAAAGTTTACACCAGCAGTCCAACTGACGCCTCTGTGGTTACTGTATTCACTAGGGCTGCCCTTTTTGAAGATATGCCATATTTCGGAGTTTGGTGTGCCGCTTTGAGATGAACAATCAGTGACATCAGAAATTTTACACCAGCAGTCTAACTGACGCCTCTGTGGTTACTGTACTCACTAGGGCTGCCCTTTTTGAAGATATGCACTGTTATCGACTCCCATTTGGATGCGAATAGGCTAGACAGTCATTGGTAGAAGGATTCGCCGCCTCCCGTGAACAGAGCAGCTGGAAGGTTGTCAGGATCTGAAGCACTATGGCGCATGAGTAAGAATGTACACTTGGACACTTTTGGGGCTAAATGGAGCTCATATTCACGGTGTATGTAACTGTTAAAGACCGACTTGAGGTAGGTGACCAACCGAATTGTTCGTAGTATTTTGTCCAGCGGTTCAAACGTTCTCCTTTGCCTGCGTATCAGACAACTATTCCGGTCCTTGATGGTGTCATTGGCAAGAGGCTTCCGAGGACCAGTTAAGGGAATCGAATGGAACAATCTGCGGACGTTGGGAGTATCTTTTTCGCTTCACATTGTTTGCCGTGCATGTACTTTCCATTTGCCACTGGTTAAATTTTGACCCATCGCGACGTTACCTTCCCGATATATTTTGTGTGCCTAACCGCTAATTCGAATTACCGGTAAATGAACAAAAACCGGGCCAGTGAGGACTGTTAATGGGCTCATCCATATACCTTGGAGGCTGCAAATAATTTACTCTTGCTCAACAGTTCCATGCTAGCTAATTAATAAAGGTGCCAACTATAAACACTCCAACAGTGGTGACTCGGTTCAGGGCTACGTCCTCGTGTTTCCCCACCCCCCATTCTGCCCAGGCGCTCCCACGTGGGGCAGTTAACGAGATTGGGCCACCCGAACTATACGCTGTTTAATCCGCCTTGGTACGTTCGCCCGAAGATCAACATATGCACATAGTTTGTTCCCTCAAATCATCCGACCATATTGCATACCGTCGCAACAGACCGTTACAACCGTACTGGCCATGCACACCTGACAGCCATTGCAGAGCGTGCCATGGGTCTGGCTCAGTGACAGGGGCCGAGTGAAGGGGC